GAAATATTATATACATGTACAGGTATGATTACATAACAATGTTGATATAATGACTGTAAGCTGTTGTAGAAGAGAAAAATAATAATAAAAATCTGCTTTAAAAAGTGCTCTTTCAGTTAAAAAAAGCCACACAGTTTATGATTTGTTCTTTATGTCCATGCTTTTGCTATCCTGTTTGCTCAATTGTAGGAGAATCTTCCTATTGCTTTCAGGAAAAAAAACTTTTTCCTGAAAAAGTGAGTGAGAGAAGAAGAGCTACAAGAAAAAGGGCCCCACTGAACAATGATGACTGGGTGTAATTTGTCTAAAGATGGGAATCTTATGCAATCATCCAAAAAATCATTGACAGGTAATTGTGTATGTCCACTGACTGGTTCCAAACATATTTTTCCTACTTTGTTTTCAGCCAATCCCCACTCAGGGGTCATCCTTCCTGAACTATGCTCATGTTCTTCTCTTTCATCTTCACATTTCTGCTTTGGATTTCCAGTGGCATACTCATAATTCAGTCACACTATGGCATCTGTAGAAATCCCCAGGTGCCCTTTCATTGTAGGACTTTACTAAAGTATGAGAATATCCCTCTTGGGAGAAAATATATTTTGCTCAGCTAAGAGGTAGCACTTAGCTGACTTCAGATGATTTAAGAATGCTAAACAGAGAGGAGCTCATTAGAATCAGGATGGGAAAAGTCAGGTCTGTAGGCAGGACTGGGAAATTGAAAAAGCATCCTGGAAGGGCAATGGCAAATCATTTTTGTAATGCTAATAAGATATACCCACAAAGTTATCAAGAATTGAATCAGATTTAAGGGAAGTATCAGAGTATGTCTGCTGGGATAATGGTGCAAATTTCACTTTTCTACTGGAACTCTAGATACAAACACTAAGTGACAGAAACAGTTTGAATAGATTAAAAACCATTTCACTGAAGAAATAAATTATTAAAACCTGTGCATGCCAGTCAACCAGAATATAGGGCATTATTTGGGCTAGATGCTGAATTTTGTGGTTAATGCTGAATGATTGAGTATTACTGCCTGCTTTATTCTTCTCCTTTTAATACCAGTTGATGCTTTTCCAGCCTTTGAATATGCAGACATGCCATAAATTCCCTGAAACCAAACTAACTAAAGTCTGCAACTATGGGCAAACCCTAAACAGTATAGTCCTGTGTAACTTTCTTGAAATTGGTTTATATGAGATTTGTACCAACTTTGGTATACTTATTTCTCTCTTCAAAAAACAGAAAGTTCTATGCCTTGCTGACTTGCATGCATTTTAAATTTAAAATGATTTACAACTCTATGAATAATCAGTTTAAATTGAAGATATATTCCAAAACTCACTGAGAGCTCCATCATAGAGCATTTGGCTATTTTCCTTCATGCATCAGTTTTCTCAGACGTGTCTCCATTGTAAAAAAAAAGTGAGATTCTTGGCCTTCAACACTACACAATAAACAGAAATTCAAATGCTGTACCTTCTAAAATATACCTTTACCACTAAGAATACTAAGAAGTCACAGATTCAGAGAAATAGAGACAACACATTTATCTTTTATCTGAAGAAAAGGATTGCCTAACTTGGCTTTCAATGAATCTTTAGGCTGAATATTCCAAAATAATCTCAGATGTATAGTAAAAACAATTTTTAAAAAGTAGGAACAAGGATTCCATACAGCATATAAAAAGGCAACATAAAAGTAATCAGCAATAAAGCATAAAGCACAGGAAAATAATCAGGGATAAAATAGGTTGGATAATATATATTTGGTTTAAAGACTCAGTGAAATCAAAAGCTCTGAGTGTGCTGCTGAAATAACTAGAATAAACACCAGCTGAGCCTTTTTGACCAACTAATGCCATAGCCAGAGTGCCATCCATGAGAAGGCTCTGTTTCTGGCCATTACTTGTCACCCTGAAATGTGGTCCATCTTTTCTCTTTTGAAGAAATCTCAGCATCATACACTTCATTACTTTTCTTCTTTTTTAGTTCTCAGTGTTCTTCGGTGAATACTTTAAAGAATAGCTAATTCCCATACATAACCATTCTTCTTATGTCTCCTAAATTTTGGGGTGGGGATAGGGAGACAGGAGAACAGGATATGCATTTAAGTGTAACTTCATCATGAGGTTTCCCTCCCATTTCTAGTTCTCCTTCCAGAGTTTAAGAATCCTACCTGAGCTCTCTAGGACCTGAACATGGTGTAGGAGTCATCAAATGGACATCTCCTTATATCTTGGGAATAAACACTTACCTGGAGTCACACCTAGGAACAGTTCTTTAGCGAGCCCAGAGTCTACTATGGATCATTTAGAAAGATGATGATGCCATAGAAATCAAACTTCACCTACCTTTTGGCAGGTCCTTCCCTGAGGCTAGCTGACTTTCTTCGTGTCTTCTTTCTCCTGGCTTCTTCTGCCAGTATCTCAATCCCCACTTCTATTGCTATGCCAGCCTTCAGCATTTCTCTCATTGTTTACTACTCTGTTGATACAGCCACCCTCCACTCTTTGATGGGTAACTAAACACTCCTATTTTTATCAGGGAACCAGCAGGTGCTTCTTTCAATCATAGCCCCTACTTCTCAGAAGGGCCAGATGGAGCTAGGACAAGGTAAAGAGTGATAGCTGCTAGCAGCCTCTTAGCAGTTCAGCTCAACATTTAAGGGAACTACAGGAAAGAACTATTTTTCTCTTTTAGGGGGCAAGTGATGTCTAGCAAGCTGCCTGTAAGAGATTTTTCAGTCTCTTGAGGCATCAGCTGTATGGGAGAATACTCCAGTGCTATTAATAATATACAGTGTTTCCATAGCCTTTTGTCATTTCTGATAAACAACAGACATTTGAAGGAAATTTGAAAGGTGGCCTACAGGGATTCAAAGAACATTTATATAAAAAGCAAAGGAAACTTGCCAGAATACTTTTAAAAAGAAGACATATCCTTAAGAGGATAGAAGGAGCTGTAGAAGTATATGAAATGTCTCCATTTAGAGCAGAACTGCCATTTACTTCCCTTTTGTTAGTTAATGCATAAGATGTTTTGGGTTTCGGTAAGAGGAGAAAAATTCTAAATAAATAAAAGATGGAATCCAGGCTCTAGTGCTTTTTCTTCCCCACTGAGGATTAGAGATGATACAATGCAGGATGTTGGGTGAACCGACTTCGCCGTGCTTCATTTTTGCACTCTCTTTAGGACGGGTTGAACACCACAGAAGCCCCAGGACACTCTATTATTCTTGAAAAGCAGTCAATTTCACAGAAATGGAGAAAGTCTGAAGGAATATTGAGACTTCACCATTCTGAATGAAGTTGAATATTTAGTTTCATCAAGAGACAAGTGCACCTCACTCATCTTGGATAAAGCAAAGAGAGCTCTGCTTGAATTATTTTAAGTTGATATTGTAGCTTACATATCAAAAAATTGAGATACCTGGGGATTTTGATACATTATATATAAAGTATGAATACAAAGCATGTTTGCGGTTGAAACTAACCTTCATTCTATCTCCTTTCAACGTGGATTCCCACTGGCTTCAGGGGAACAATATCTATTAGAGTTGAAGCCTTCTTCTAAGAGACATGCTAACTGTGCAGATCATATTTAGCATTTAGATAGCAATTTCCAGGGACACAATGTCAAAAAACACTTTCGTATTATGTTTTGGGCAAATATGTTTTTGAATATCATCACTTCAATTAGGTTTTCTTGAAGAAAAAAATATTCTACAATAGAGTTATATTGCACTGGCAACGCAAGTTGCACAAATATTGTCAACACTCTTTTTTCCATCTTTCACAACCTGGCAGAAAGTATTTGCTGTAAACACTGCTATGGGAACAAAACTGAGATAGCTCTCTGCTGGAAGGAACTCATGGTTTAAATATATGATTTGCCAAGGACTCTGGTAGGCTTAGTTTATGATGTGCTCCTGGGGTGACAGTGAAAATCTGGTGAAAACTATGGGATTAACCTCTTCCGTATGATAGTCACACAAGTCCACTTGGTTTTACATTTCTGAAGCCACTCTGACGCCTTGTGGCCAAACAAGGCCAAGTTCCTAAAATTAGACTATAACAGGGAGAAGACGTAGGGATGGAGAACAATAACAAGAACTGCATTGTGATCCAGAGACAAAAACAACCTTACTTTTATTACACAGGAGCTTCCTTGCCAGAATACAACTGGAAGAAAGGCAGGTAATACATTATGAAGCCACCATGCCCAGATGTATAGGAAGAGTTTATTACATCAATAATCTATAAGCAGAAAAAGACTCACTTGTAATTAGTGTTTTGTCTCCAAAGAAAAATTATACACATTGGAGGTTGAAACCATGTTGGGGGTTCTGGTAATCTTCTTCCTAAGCACTGATTTATTACTTTTGTTCTTTCTAAGCTGCCTTCTGGATATATTGATGTGCTCCAACATTATTAGAATTTATAGAAGCAATTAAAACTCGGTTATTTCAAAGGACCTTTGACAGGGAGATGATTGACATTCCTTCTGTATATTACTCTACAGGGTTGCGATTCCTTGCATAGGAAAGCTATGTAGTACTTTAAAACTATTAGTTGGGACTATTTTTGCTACTATAATTTTATTTACTTAGATTAAGATAGAGTGATAGGATTATCATCTGCTCAGAAACATTTGTTGGCATAAGCCCAATAAAATCAAACAAATTAAAACCTGATGCTAGGAATTGGTTTACTAATTAGAGAAATTTCAACAGCCTATCTCACTTGTTATATGATCAAGAGGATCTCTCTTTTTTTTAATCACACTGCAGGTTTTTGTCTAAAGTAAACAAATCATGTTTATTTGGGATGAGCTTCTTATCAAGTCTGTATTGATTCATGGGCAGCAGAGAGAAATGGCTTTATTTGCTCTTTACATAACACGATTCACAAAGATGGTCTCAAATTACTTGCTAAATATAAAAGCACTGTCAGCCAGTAAAAGCTACTGCATGATAAAGGTATTTTCTAACTCTCCTTAATACAAGCACTCAATGAAGAACCAGTTCCAGCCAGAGTTGTGGTCAAACTCAAGAAACATTGATTTCTCTTTCAGTGAGTCACAGGCAGACAGACTGCAATTAGTTGGGCAAAAGAACAGACAAATTTGTCATTCAGGCTTCCAAATTTAGCCTAGATTAAAATAGTCTGAATGACATGTTTTGTATAATTAATCTTTGCTAGCACCTATGTTTATTCAACAGCCATTACAAGGCATTTGACTTTATGCATTGGCATGACTTGCAACAGAGCAAAACATGATTCTGAAAGGCCTAGTAACTATTCCAATCCAGAGAATCAATCAGTTTGTGTGTTTGTCTATGGGCAGAAGGAAGAACCATTGAACTATTTTAGGTCTAGGAATATGCAGACATATTCCCAGGAAAGCAACTGCTACAATATTTTGTTACATGCAGAGCATTTAGGCTTTTGAAACAGAACAGCTAACAAGACAATTTAAATCTGAACCATGATAATTGCCAGATTTCCCCTCCCCCCTTTGGGCCACCCCACTCTACCTGCTGTCCAGATGTAGTGAAGTTGTCGACCCCACTGTCCTGGGAGCAGCATATACTTGTAGAAATCCTATACAACAATATTTCAGTCTTAAGAAGAAAGACAAAAACCAGAAATGATTGTTGCAGATTGGAGAGTACACATTTTATAATGAATGAACATTAAAAATGAGAGTCCCCTTCATTAGATGCATTACAGTTTGTTATGAATTAACAGATGATAAACATATCTAAATAATAGGATGACAGCCAGCTTGATGTAGTGGTTAAGGCATCACTGTACTCCATCTGTGCCTTAGGCACAAAGCCAATAGGATCCAGTCACTTTCTCTCAGCCTGAAAATGGAGACAATGGCAAACCAGTTCTGAAAAAAAATTTCAGGAAAACTGCAGGAAGTCCAGGCAATCTTCAACAATTAAACATGACTGAACTGAAGAGAAAAAAATGGATATAGAGGAGAACAATGGAAATGAACTAAATATACTTAATTGGAGTGCTAAGTATTTTCAGTGACCACAATACTATGTGCTAGTGTGATGTAATGATAAGGTAACATACCAGTAGTAGGAAGATCCAGGTCCACTCTCAGACATGGAAATTCACTGGATTACTTTGGACCAGGTTACATTATCTCAGTTCACCTCCAAGGATTGCTATTCTAAGCATAAAATATAAACATTCCTCTGTAAATATTATTTTTGTTCATGGAAGAAAAGTAGTATATAACTGACAGACAAGCAAAGTTTGGTCATAACAGTAATCTTAGTCTTGTTCAGCTAATTAAGATTGCATAGTCCAAGCATTATAAATTAGCATGTGTATGTGTACATTTAATTATTTGGATTCAAGAAGAAACTTACATTCTAGTTGCAACTCACAGAAACACATTTGCATCAGGTCAAGCTACTTGTCCATTAATCCAACTCATCCCAGAAACGACAGCATCTTTGCCCAAGGACTATTAACTAACACCTGTCCATTAGAGTTCCTTTGCTCTGTTTGTGTCAGGAATAGAATTTAGAATCTTCTCCTTGTGAAACAAGTCCTTTCTTGAGCTATGGAGGGAGCTATGGTTCCATCCTTAACCCCCTTTCCTGATGTGGTATCATTGTTTGTGCCAACCAAAATACAGAATATAGAAAGAGAACAAGCCATACGGGTTGGCTCAAGCTCATCCCACATTGCAACCTGAATGATCAATTATCTGACCAATTGATTCTTTTTGTCTCCAAACGTCTCATGGCCTACTTTTAAAGATACCGTATATACTCAAGTATAAGCCGAGTTTTTCAGTCCACTTTTTGGGCTGAAAAAAGCCGCCTCGGCTTATACTCGAGTCAGTGAAAAATTTGCCCGAAATGGAGGAGAAAAAGGGGCGGGGCCATGCCGCTGGGTGACATTCGTGAATGGCCCGGTGCCCCTGTGAGTTTCCCCTCTCTCTGTGTCAGTTTGCCGCGCAGCGCGCACCGCACCATCCCCCCTCCTCACGTTCTAATGTAATGCAGGACTGTCTTACGATTCCCCTTCCTCCCCCTCCTGCCGCTCTGCAACGATGTCCCACCTCCTCCTTGTTATGGCAAGCAGCCACATAGCGATGTCCCACCTCCTCTGGTACAGTGATCCAATAATAGGAATCACTGTGCCGTGTGTCATAGGAGGCGGGACATCGCTCCCGCGGCTGCACGGGACATCATTACCGGTAGCTGCTGCATTTCCCACCCTAGGCTTATACTCGAGTCAATAACTTTTCCAGTTTTTTGTGGTAAAATTAGGTGCCTCGGCTTATATTCGGGTCGGCCTATACTCGAGTATATACGGTACTATCTGAGGTTTTAAAGCTTCTGCATCGTGAACAGTACCAATGAAGTGTCTGCTTACATCAGTGGCCATTGCAGAAGCTAATCAGACATAAGGCAAATCAAATTTCATTCAGCGCTGACCTACAGTAAACCCCAAAGTCAGGAAATTATCTAGTCTCAGAAAATAATCAGGCAGACAATCTGTCCCTCTAGGTTGCTGCCTTGCACGTTCAAAGGAAAAAAGGACAGGAATAGCCCTTCACAAAATGAGCCGCAGTTCATTCTTGTGTCAGGACATAATTTACAAAGATATCAGTCTAAAACATAGGTTTAAGTTCCAGAAGTGTTGGAACCACCTTCCTTGGCTGGCTTTAGCCCTGGTTCCCATTTTTATCCAGGGAAGTTATTACCCTGAGACTAGATCTAAGGAAAGAGTTCACCAAAGACTGATTTGGGCAGCTTAGTCAATGCAGGTAGTGTAATACAGCTAGTTTCCTGCAGTTTCTTTTCAGAGATATCAGTACAATTTGTTTGTTTGCTATATGATCACAGACACATTCAATATAAATCTTAGAACGAGGTATCTGAAAGCAAATTAGCAAGGGTGAAAAATCATTACAAAATAAATGTAACATCTTTTATCAAAAGCTTCTTTTGGCTTTGCATAACACAGAACCAATGCTTCCTAATTATTGCAACAGGGAAGTTTTTACCACTTTGCTACTCAGATTCTTCAGTAAACAATTTAAAATATCTGATTGGGGTCATCTCATGTATTTAATAATAAGGGAAATTAGTTTTGCACGTAGATAAAGTATAATGGGCAACTCACAAAATACAAGCTGCTGGGGTACCTGTATATGCGTTTCTAGTAGGATATTCTTGATTTTCCTTTCACAACTTTAAAATCTTGCTACTGAGAATGCCTTTCTATGAGGACCAGAAAGGGTGTTATGAAAATATTTAGGAGTGGAATAATAAAGGGATCCCCAACTCCCAGGCCATAGACCAGTACCAATCCATGGCCTTTTAGGAACCAGCTATGCAAGTGGCAGGTGAGTGAGTGAAGTTTCCTTTGAGCATGCGTTGGATTTAAATTGTGTTTGAAACAATTCTACACCCCCCACCCCCATTCCCAGTCTGTGGAAAAATTTCCTCCACAAATTGCCCCTGCCACTAGGGACACGAAACTGGTCCCTAGTACCAGAAATGTTGGGGACTGCTGGTATAAGAGATGTCATCAACATCTCAAACAGTAATAAATGCAAGTATGTAAGATTTTGAAAAATAAATGTTGCTGCCTGTGCTGGATCTCATTCTTTTTTGGCCTAATATCAACAAACACCTAATCATATTTTATTGCATATTCCATGACTAATACCTGTCACTCTCTTGTATTAGGGTGTAATAAAATATTTGCTTAGGGGACTATCACATACATGCACCATGGGGTTTTGTTAGGGAGGCATAATGATGGGCATGCTGCCAAGAATCTGTAGGAGACCAAAATGTTGGCTTTATATTTGATGAGACAGATGGAAAGGTTTTAGATGATTCTCAGTTTCCAAAGTTGTCAACTTACAATTTCTTTTTTTTTCAAACCAACAAATATATTCAGTACAACTATCAGTCCCTAATCATATTAAATTTTCAGTTATCTTTGGATGACAAACCTGCCTAAGGAGAAGAGAGTAACAAAAGCTATATAACTAGGTGAAAAATAGGAAGATTGAAATCAAGTATTCTGTGCATGTTTCTATAGAAGTAAACCCAATAAGTTGAATAAGCAAACCTGCCATAGTGTGAGAATAACACTAGGCAGAAGAGATTCAGTGAGTTGAATAGTTCTTTCAACTACATTTTTTAGAATAGAAAAAGCTTTGTCATATTCAGGTTAATTAATGCAGTTCCTTTTTAGAAAATAAACATTGTTAACATTATCCCAACATTATTATGTAACAACTAGGATTTTTATAGGGTTACTGAGCCTGGATCTGTAGTATTTGAATTATACAGGCATTCATGTTAAAGTATCCCTGATAGATGATGGTTTTACACAGCTCAAAACATCTCCCTGAATAACTATCAATTGGGATCAACTGTAAACTTGGCTGCCTTGCTGTTACCCTTAAGTCTAAAGTGATTTATATTTAAAAAAAAACACTTGATCCCAAAATATATTCTTAATGGACTTCAGTTCTTATTTCTCTCCACTGAGCAAACTTATTTATTTTTACAGCTTTTTGGTTGTCGTTTTTTACATAGATTATGTAATTATAAAGAGATAGATTCTTTTATCCCATGATCTCTACATTTACTCAAGAGCCTTGACGGTTTTGGAGATATTTTGGTTTTCAAAAAGCCTTTGAGGATGTTGACATGTCATCATCTTTTGCATATATGTGTGTTCTAGAGACATATTCCAAAAGTGCTAGAAGATAATTCACATCTTTAGTTGATCTCTCTATCTGCATGCACATTAAAAAGTGGGATAAATAAGGTAACAATATTTTTATGTAATGCATATTAGAGGTGGTGACCCTTTGACAGCTGTATGCAACGAAATTTCATTTTAATGTATGCAGATTAGTGTACATTCAAAGTGACAATAAAGTTATTCTATAAATTTATCTTTGCAGATTACATTCTTATTTTCCTTGTTAATTGTTCAAAATAGAATAAAGTGCAAGCCTTATTTCCCATAGACTGGAAACTGCATTTTACTCTATGTGCTCTGAGAAACTCATCAGGTTGATTAGTTTAGAGTTCCGTCTATCACTCAAACTCAGAAACGTGGTGTTGAAAAAGTACAGTGAATCATCAGCGCTTGCTGCAAATGCGACCAGGTCTCGTGCAAAGGTTCATTGATAAAACAGCAGCCCTGAGCTTCTCTCAGTAAAACAAACAAAAAACAAAAAACACCCGATCGCTCCTGGCTTGCTATCTTCCCTATGATGCTTCGGAACATCAGGACAGCCTTCTTTAACCTCTTGAACTACAACTCCCAAAATTCCCTAGCTAGACGCCATGCCGGCTGTGAATTCAGGTAACCGCGATCCAGCGCTCTAGCCACCGTATCTCAGTCTTCTCCTCGCGGCCTCCTCCTCTCTATGGTTTGAAATAAAAATAATTTCCATCACGCTTGCAGCTGCGCAGTAGCTCTGCGCCTGGCACGTGATGTCAAGAGCCTTACAGTATTGGACTGAAGTAATTCGAGAACTTCTCCGGCTGCCTAGAGAAGGCAAGATTCCATCCGGAAAGTTTCTATGGTATCGAGGAAGGGAATGAAACCAAAGGCACACTGGCGGAAGTGCTGCTTCCTCGTGCTTCCGGTTGGTACCTGGGCCGAAGGTGAGCTTGGATAGCGATGAAGGCGTTTATAGAAGTTTATTGGGGAGGCAGAAAAGGGATGGAGCGGGGTTTTTTTGGTGGAGGCGAGGCTGCAGACATAGGAACTGAAAAAAAGGGAGGAAGATAGGAAACACCCAATAGGTTTGCTCACTTTCATTAGGGAAGCTAGTAAAAAGAGGCGCCTCCCTCCACCATCGCCAGCAATAGCCGCCAAACGAGCTCACTCTGAGCGAAAAAGCTTTGAGACCCGTCTTTCTACTTCAGGGCTTTAAAAAAATTTTTTTTTAAGTGTGTAGAAGATTAAGAGAGAAAGCCCTTCTTTCTATCAAGTTTGTATAGAATCATGATTAAAATAAAGATTCCCCTTGCACATATGTGCTAGTTGTTCCTGACTCTAGGGGGCAGTGCTCATCTCTGTTTCAGCCAGCGCTGTCCGAAGACGTCTCCGTGGCCATGTGGCTGGCATGACTAAACACTGAAGGCGCATGGAACGCTGTTACCTTCCCAC